TGAGGTCTTCTTTCGTATGCAGATACATATAGATATATACAAATAGCAGTGAAAGCTGATAACTAAATAACATCTCAGTTTTGTCAAGATGTACATGCATGCACGAATAATTACCATCAATACTTCACACCGTATCTGGAGACAATTACAGTGACTATGATACTAATGTATTTGATTACATGAACGACTGAGTGAGTGAGAGAGTTGAGTTTAACACCGCTTTAAACTGTATATCAGTCATATAACTGCCTATCATCTTGGAGGAAACCCGTTGCAGATTTGCGTTACCACTTTTGGTAACACTGCAGATTTGGTAACACTGCACACTAGACAATTCCGATGTTTTAGACGACAGTCCCACAAGTGCCTCGATTGCACTATTTGATTGAATGGATGTTATACTTACGCAGTAGCACACACAGCGGAAGTAAGGATATATTGATCACTGATGATTGCTCCACCGCAGACTGTGAGGTTGCCAAAGTTAAAGTTGTTGCTTAAGGTTGGGTTGTAGTAGACCTTGATGCTGACAAGAGGGGTGTAGGGCCATGTGCACTTCAAAATGTTTTGACCTCCCAAAATTCTTGAATGTAAAATTTCTTCACCGCATCGATCTGTGGATATGAAACACTTTATCTTTTTTTAAAATCACTACAAAATCGATATACTACTAATCCCATCTTTTGATGGAATGGAAGAAAAGTCGTACCAAGCTGGACACCGAATGTCTTGAAAATTGTTTTTGTCTTGTGTGACAGGATCTCGAAATGCAAGTGTGGGATCTCTAACGCGGACCGTCACCGCATGTGAGCTTATAGAAGACCACAGTTCCTTCATTCGATTGGGAGATGTATGAGCGACGAAAGTGACGCATGTATTGAGCGTTTACCGCTTTGGTTAAACCCAGAGCACGGGTAAGATATTGACAAACCAAGAAACATGAATGGTGCGAAATTGGGATTCAAACTTACGATCACACTAGATTCTGGTACGCCTAAGGGACGCAACTCTGTACAGTTAATTGCGGAGTCTTAGACGACTCGGCCACCCGCGCCCCAAACACGTAAAAGTACAAGAATACAAATTAATGAGCATGTCTGATATGTTATGATTTACAGACCGCCATCATAGAGCTGCAATAATGCGGAGTGCGGCGTTAAACAATAAATAAACTAACAAACAAACGTTATAGTGAAACATTTGTGAGTACATCGCATAATTTTCTGGAACACAAATAATAATCTTCTGTGTCACACATCAGATCTTACATTGTGCCCATGCGAGGGATTAGTATTACTTGTACAACAGAGTTTGTACGCATGGTTGTGTTTGGAAATATGTTCCAGAGGAACAGAAAAGGATACGTGTACGAGGAAAAATGTTTTATTCGTTATCGGCTACGTAGAATGGATTTCTTGAAATAGTTCTTATCAACAGCGACACGTTCATGTTCTGAATCGTCGTGCTTGAGTGGGGTTGAACGCCAATTAAAACAATATTCTAGCCATATTAAGGCTCAAGACACATATTACACCTGAGGCTGATTTTGTGGAACAAAAATAATAATCTTCAAAGTCACATATCTAATCTGACATTGTACCCATGTGTGGAATCAAGCTTACTTGTAGAACACGGGTTTTCTGCGCATGGTTGTATTTGGAAATCTTGCCCGGAACAGAATCCCGAGATGCACGAGCGGGATCTCCTCCGTTCACCTTGTCCACACGTGACAGAGCACGTGCTCCAAGCGGACCATTGTGACCAAGTTCCATCAGCTACGTATACAAACATACATGTAGTGTAACGAGTATATGCAATTGTACATGTTATTATATAAGTTATTACAATTTTGAAAAGTATTTCAGTTATATCACGTCGTGTCAGTTATGTCTACTGTGCAAAAACAGCCGACATGTGAAAGATCCGGGTAGAGAATAGGTCTTCAGCCACCCATGCTTGCCGTTAGCGGCGACTAACGTCATCGGGTGGTCAGACTCGCTGACTTGGTTGATGCATGTCATCGTATTTCAATTGCGTTGATCGATGCTCATGATGTCAACCACTGGGTTGTCTGATCCAGACTCAATTATTTACAAACCGCCGTCATATAGCTGGAGTAATCCTGATTGCGGCGTTAAACAACAAACATTACATACCAAATATCATGGTTTACCCACCTTGCCGACAGCACACACCTACAAAACACAGTCTGTCATATGTACTTGGTCGTTGTGTCTCCTGGAAGAAACATGACGGTCGACAGGTTCCCCGATACAGCTGGGCACACACTGAAACGTGCAACGCCGATGTATGCTTCACATGAATCTCAGCCACTCACCCAACAAAACAGTTCTTGTTTTGTTGGGCCCACAATCGTATACAGACATATAGTTGATTGATTCACATTTTCGGAATCACAAATAGCCCGTTTCTTAAGTATATCACGCTGATTTGTTGCGTGATATATATTTTAACATGAGAAACGTGTACCGTTCGAGGCAAAATACAAATGACACCAAATATAATTATACAGAACGTCAACGCCAGAGAATGACCAGTCTCTTGTCCCCCGAAACAGATTCCATTGGCCGGAAAAGTGAAAAAGGGGTGAAGATGATATGAATAATCACTGAAAATCAGTGATAACACCAGGTGTTCACGAAAAGCATTTTAAAGAACGATTATTGTAAGGTAGTAATTACTTACAAGTATGGCGGATATACTGAGCTCCCGAAGAAGTCAGCTGCGCTAAAATCAGCACCTTTGTCAAAGTGATGATTGTCATCTTGAGCTCATCCTTTGAAGGAAAACCATTCTTTATATACCCCGGGAAACTATGTAGAAAATAACACTCCTTGACACGTAAGCTCTGAATGCCCAATGCCAGATAATTAGGTATTCTACACTCTTTAGGAAAGACTGTTGTAAGAGGCATTCCTCGTGGCATTATGCGGATAGGTGTTATCTCTTTTGAAGTCAGTAAATGATGCTTCTTTTCTGAAGCTGGCTATTGGGGTTTGGTAATGACAGACATACTGCAATGTGCGCACGGCAATTGTTGCACCAAATGGCTTTTTTTGTTATAGGCACTTTCAAGATGGAAAATTGAATTCAACCAAGTCAATAAATGAAAGTATTTTTTTCAAGGAGGCTTATTCCTTTTTGTGTTGTTGTTTGAAAGCCTGCTTTCTTTAAAATATTAAGTAACGTCTTGGTATGATTTCACACGAAGTGTTTCACAAGATATTTTTCTTTGTATTGTCCCAAATTGTGATATATGGTATATTGTTACAATGTATACTGTTTTAACTAAGTTATAAAATCATGGAACAAATGACACCGAATCTGCATTTGTATGTTTCAGAACCTTAAAATTAGGTGATACTAACACGTATGCCTTTCTATAACCAATATATCAACACGGGTCAATAGAAGATTTAAACTTCAGTGTTTGCCGGGGAGTTTTAAACTTTTATCGACGAGTCTTGATGTAAACTGAGGAACAAAAGAAATTTTACCCAGTTTATTTCTTATGTTATTGAAAATTAAATTCTGTTGTTAAATTTGACAATGTATATTTAACCATCACTCATTCCTGCAACAGTTTGTAAAAAGTAATCTGCGGCTGGGTCATTGTGTATAAAAATAAATTAGTTCAAGAAAGACTGGAGTAAGAAATAACTTTGCAACCACATGATGCCTACCTAATTTGAAATGTAAATTTGTGCCGAAATATGTATGGACTTTCAATGATAAGTTACCTTAGCTACCTATCACGCGGAAGAGATTTTTAATTTTAAATCAAATTATATTTTTGAAAATAAAACCATACAGAAGCATTCTCTGAGTGAGATGTTTTCAATTGAGAATCACACATAAGATAATATCACCTGAGAGGTAGTTTTGTTTGCTCTCAAATTATTTATACAAAAAACATAATGGTGAGGTTCTATTTAACATCCCCAATTAGTTTTTCATGCCAATTCGTCATGGTAACCATCCCGTCACAATAACCTGCAAAGCATTGAGAAACCAAAGAGATATCTGCCGTTGAAGCCAGTTTAGGATGATGAATTAAACTCTTTAAATCATGTCAGTATCTCACCAACATCACATTGAAAGAGTGGGAATCGTTTTATTTGATCCGCCCGTTGATTACAGTGTGTTAGACCAGGTTCGATTCCAGATGCGCTCCGATTATGATGCTTGGTGTTCCAAGATTATCGACCCACAGAGAAGGTATGATCCACAATGTCTGAAACACTACTACAGTCGTCATGTAAGAGATGTTGCTCTGCAAACTCCTTTATTCACCCTGATAATGACTCTTGCAATGTCTGCACCGTACCCATCCTCGTAGGTTTCACTAAAGTGGTAAACTTCAATGATTTCCATCACTTCGGGATTTCCTCCCTAATTAAGTTGACTCGTCGTGATAGAAGAATTGAAACACTGTTCAAAGCGCCAAAGAACACAGTACATATTTTTACTTATATATATTCGTATTCGTGGGTCATTGGTCAGGGCGAAACTCCTACCTGTATGCAGTTTGAAATCGCAGTGACACGATCAGTCACCATTAAGTCATGCACTAGAGACCTCTCTTTAAGAAGATAGCGACCCGTGAAGATCCGGGGTAGTATAGGTCTTCAGCAACCCATGCTTGCCGTAAAAGGCGACTATGCTTGTCGTAATAGGTGACAAACGGGATCGGGTGGTCAGTCTCGCTGACTTGGTTGATGCATGGCATCGTATCCCAATGATCGATCGTATCGATGCTCATGATGTCAATCACTGGATTGTCAGGTCCAGAATCGATTATTTACAGACCGCCGTATTGCTAAGTGCGGCGTTTAACAACAAAGGAAGCAAGTAGAAGATGAAAACCGACTTATTCGCAGTAAAAATCCTGCATTTAAGCTTATCTCAGAGTTACTTCCTGATATTGTTGTTTTGATATTTGTAAGTACAAAAGCGTGTGAAAACACGGAAAAGCAAAGTTGACATTCCTTACAAATTTATTTTTTCAACATGAACAAACCACACAAGACATGTAATAGCAACGGTTGTATGTACATCATAAATGGCAGCCGCAGATGCATTCAGATAGGAAACAATAGCATTATGTGAACTAGTGTATTTGGTGCGTTTCTTGGTCACAGGTTTCCCGTCATAGCTCGGATGGAGACCAGCAAATCCTTCTTCACTTATAGGGTGGGACAAGTGAAAATGTTGTTCACACAGCTTTCGATCCACTGCCTGTAGTTTGCCACCTCGGTGATGAAGATTGGAGGCTCGGGTGTGGCCGTTCCGCCGTTGCTGACCAGGCAGTTGTTGGTGCTGATGATGCCTCTCAGCCACCACTTGTTGGACTTTCTGCACACCACAATACCGCCCCAGTCGAACTGAAACCAAAAGTTTTAGAATTTGCAAGATACAGTAACAATACTTGCATTTAAACAGCGTAACAATTCACAAAAAGAAGATGCTCTGTGCGCTTTAGCAACTGTAAGACCGTTGCAACAGAAATGTCTTAAGCTAAAATTTGAAAGAACTAGCAATAGTGTGTTTTATACAGTCGATAAAACGTTTAAAATATTATATGTTTATCAATTAGTTGCACAAAACGTTGCGGTGATACATACATCTTGCCCCTGCATCAGACGATTATTAGTATTGCCTCTCAAATATACATTAAAACATACGTTACTGTTGTTTTAGAATGCATTTTACTTCGATTAGGAATATTTAGCTAACTTATGCCATAGTGTTTTCGTCCGCTGTCATTTGGCGTTATCTTGTGTCAGACTGTTTGCCCATAAACATCACCTACACTAAAACTGCTGGACAGATGAATTTGAAACTTGCCATTCTTTTTTCTACCATTGATACTATTCAAACAGCTCTGATTAATTTGCAGTTATCTAAATATTAAAATAGTTAAGCTCGTAAAGTACATATTTAAACATCGTAAACGGATGTTAATGTTTGTTCAAGGCACACATGTAAGCATTTCACCTGGAACTAATAATTCAAATTATTTTCGTGTCCAGCACCTTTGAAACATTTCGACGTATCATCACACCTTGTATAGTTACAGATTAAATTGTGAACGTTGCTAACATATTACCTAATGTCCTACATTCTCAGCTTGATACTTTAGGTATTATGTCATTCGGAAAAAGAACGAAAGTGACATGGTGTTTGTCATGTCATCATGTGTTGGGTTTTATTTGCAGTATTTTTTAATGGACAAGGTAGGGTAAGGGCACACATGATCTGCATATTTTAAAATTAAAAACAAAGCTTTCAGGAATTGTTATGAGAGTTATCAGACATGTTTGTATGAATCGCAACTGTTTTACAGTTCCATGTTTGAGATTTATGACATAACTAAATGGTAGGTATAGACAAAATGTGTCAAAAAGACGCTTTTCTGAGGTTTTCGTGAATCATTCTTTATTATCAGAACATGGGTATATGAACACATTATTATAAACAAAAGGTAAAAACATTATCATTGGTTGTGGAGTGCTCATACTTAGATTTTCTTTTAAAATGATAAACATCTGCCTTTTTTACTTCCAAACGTAGACATTTCCAAATACCAAAATAGCCACTTATTCCTCGCCCTTCAGTACACGATGTATCTTTTTGACTTAAAAAGCATTTACATGTGTATGAACAGTACAGAAATGGGATTCCTCTATATTGACGTGTTTCTCTTATATTATTTTCCTTTAGTTTGTTTGTTTGTTTGTTTGTTGTTTAACGCCGCTATCAGCAGTATTCAAGCTATATGACGGCGGTCTGCAAATAATCGAGTCTGGACCAGACAATCCAGAGATTGATATCATAACCATCGATCCGCGCAATTTGGACACTATGACATGCATCATCCAAGTCAGCGAGCCTGACCACCCGATCGCGTTAATTGCCTTTTACGCAAGCATGGGTTGCTGACGACCTATTATAACCCGGGTCTTCACGGATATCCATTAGTATATCAACTGAACATACCAGACAGGCTTGGACAGCTGGGCTTTCAGTACGGCCAATGACGGTGCCAGCAGGGAGAATGTTGTTAGGAACTTGCTTGGCAATTGCTTCGGTCACCTGTCTGCTGTACAGCTTGATGGGAGCCTGTTGGGGAATATTAGATGCCTCTGCGTCGTTGGCTGTAAGAATAATTTGCAAATCATGCATGTTTTATAATAGTAAATAGTATCTGCAGATCAGTGAGCACTTAAATGCATTCTCAACTACCTGGGGAGTATGCAACCAAAGCTGTCTTTCAGGCGCTAGACAGTTCTGCAGTCGCATCACCATCTCATCCAACCGGATTCTCTTTCGCTGACAGGTGACAAAAGGCTTAATGCCACGTATCTAGAAGAAGCCCCACTTGATACACAACCATAAATTCAGTGTGGGGCAGTACCGAGGCCCTGAACTTTCTCCGAGCGCGGCCATCCATACACCTACTGTCCGCCGCCGGCTTAGCCATATTGCATCTGAGTTTTCACTTGTGCGCTATGCATGGGATTACGAGCCACCACTCGGCAATGTTCAGCATTGACAATGATCCATACATGAACATATGTATTACAGGTGCATCCAGAGATATGTGGTGCTCATCGAATAATTATAAGGCAAGAGAATCTGAGTGTATCACAGTAGTAATCAAAGCGTTAGCGGCCAGACAGGGATCGACCACCTTGTGTATGACGTGGCGGATATGCTTTGATTTTACCATTGTAATATTACTTGACTGTCGCTAAAAGAAGCATAGACCCTTAAATACTCACTACATCACTCACAGTCTCCAAACACGTTGTCATTAAACCTTATCCCACACATTGTTTTCTGTTTTTATTGTTTGCTGCGACGTTTTAAAATTATTTTCATCAAATAACTTTGAGGAACTTCCAAAGACCGTATACGTATCGCCCGATTAGAAGGTGACATTGTTGTCTTTGGCCTATGTTGTGCTACAAGCGTATGCCACAGATCTCTTTGGGTAAGGTGATGCTTTACCAGTGATCAAATATGCTATTTACGATTTATACTCTCCAAAAACGTAGGTGATCATGTAATATAAGTGGTATGATCGGTCGTCGCAAGAAAGATCAGCTTTAAAATATGACTGCCAGAGACAGCTATAGTACGGTTTCGGAACCACAATCTATCGCCCCAACACTCCCGAAACATTTCACGTGGAGCATGCAACGTGGGTAGTGGGACATTCTGGATTTTGAAACTTCAGAGAAGGGTCGTCAAATCTCTCAGAGTCATCAGTATTGTAGATTTTCATTATTCACAGTTAATTCCCTACCCTTGCTTTAATGTAGTATTTGTAATCAGTCATTAGTATGCTTCAAACTGATAGATATCAGCGAGAGGAAAACAATATTGTTCAATGTGTCTCAAAGCACAGACTTTGGAACATGTTCTGCAGACACAAAATGTCAATGATCGGCCCCGCACAGGGCTCCCTGGATAGGCAACTCAAGTCCAGGATCGACTAATCAGAAACCTGACTTTAAGAAATCGAGCCCAAAAAGCCAATCAAATCGTTTATCTCTTGCACCAGGCCACCGGAGTTACTGACAGGAGTATTAGAAATAGTCTGCATGCTCGGAGATCACGTGTTGTACTACCGTCAACCAATCGACACATTCTAGCCAGACGCCAGTGGTGTTTAGAGGGTAGAAACCGGGGCATCACCGATGGCCTCGTGTCATGTCTTCAGATGAGTCCAAACTACTCTGGACGTTTTGGATGGCGGTGGACGTGTCTGGAGGCGTCCTGACGATCGTCATGCGAAAGTCAACGTCAAGAAACATGACAGATTTGGGGTGGGTCTGTAATTATATGGGGAGGGATCACTATGACTGCCAGAACGCCACTGTCGCTGGACAGTCACGGGACAGTACTGCCGAGACAACATACTGGCGTCATAAGTTGAGCCGTATGCGTACTATGCTGGTCCCCGTCTTGTCTTTCAAGAATACCATTCGTAACGAATCATCTTAAATGTTCACTGTTGGACTACACCCCCTCTCGTCTTTCTCGGTTGTTTTCACTCTGACAATACACCGCCATCATGTTCTGTTGATTATCATGTTACACCTAGTCCTTTCTTATATTGGGGTGGTCGGGTAGTCAAGTGGTTAAAGCGTTCGCTCGTCAAGCCGAAGACCCGGATTCGATTCCCCACATGGGTACAATGTGTGATGCCCATATTCTGGTGTCCCCCTCCGTGATATTGCTGGAATATTCCTCAAAGCGGCGTTAAACCATACTCACTCACTCAATTTTCTTATACAACCATTACCATCACTTGATACCTCTTTGTATTTCTGTAATAACCCGTTATTTTCGAATATCACTTACTTTTTATATTGATGATGCATCTACCAATTGGAAATTATGCTTCAAACGGCCATTGGTGATGTGAGGCGAAATGGGGTTTAACGTCGCGTTCAAGATTATTGCACTTATATGTAGCGACCAAACGTTCATTGAGTATCACATTGAATAGCTTGAACTGCAAATGAATACTTACGACTTTTCAGTCCAACGGAAGCCATGATGCATGTATCATCTACTTCCGGTACGTCACATGAGCTTGAGGTTGAGGTGCGTTGAGGTTCCAGACAGGCCGGGAGTTTACAGTTGTTGTACTGGATACGGGTTCGCAGTTTGAAGAGAGCAATGTTATTGCCTGGAAGAAAATACGAATCAAGACGGTAATAATATCATATGTGTCTTAATTAATGCGTCATGTCTGTCTTAATTAAGAATAGTTTTACCACACGGCATTCTTAAAGAAAATGTTTCATTAACATCCAAAATAATATATTACTCCGGCCACGTTTAGTTATTAATATCTTTATCCGTTTACTGTATCTATGTCTGTTGTTACAATATAGAGATGCGTCCCTCACGCTCACCAAAACTCTATGATCGTTGGTTCGAATGCAAGATTAGTCCAGGTTATGTTTGTAGCTTTGTTAGCACCATAACAGTACTCATGTGTTTCTGCAAAGTGGTAAATGCAATCTGCATCAATTGGGCTTTCATCCCACATCAAACTGACTTGGTTCATGCATGTCATCGTATCCCAATTGCATAGATCGATGTTCATGATGTCCATCACTTGGTTATCTGATCCAGACTCGACTATTTAATTCCGCTGTCATATAGCTGGAATATTGCTGATTGCGGCGTTAAACAACAACCAAACGTGAACCAGTAACTACCTGTATTGTACAGCGTACTTATACATCTGTTACAGAAACACTTCTGGACATATGTATATGGACATGGAACGCGGGTATACTTACTTGTAGTGATGTTGTCATAGTCCCTGTGAATCTTTACTTCCTCCAGCTCTATGACATCTTCGGGACGACCGTCATTGCCAAAGTCTTCGAGTCTGGAGTCAAAGTCTCCGATGACAACTCTTGTCGACTGACGTACAACTGCTGCACCTGGCCCGTATAATCTGTCAAATAGAATTTACAACTGTCATGACCATTATATTTAACATTAGTCTTCATTCAGTAAATATGTTATTTTATACCAAAGACTTTCCATGTTTTCCATATTAACATTGAAACTATTTACGGAATTACACTTCGGAAAACATATTATGACACAAACACAATCGTTTCCAATTTTGTCATTCAAATTATCCTTATATGGAAGTACAAAGTGTTCAGTGAATGCAATATGTGTGTGTGTGTCTGCGTGTGCGTGTACGAGCGTGTTCAGTGTGTGTATTGTATTAAATGGTGGGATTAATGACTCCAATTACAGCACTAGGTATATTATAAGTTGGAGCAGGGCCACGAGGGGCACATGGGGTTTTATGCGTCCTTCGTGAGGTTTTATTCATCATGGTATTATGTCAAAGATCACGTGGACCAATCAGATCTCATCATTCTATGATAAGCCACTTTATCTCATCAACCTATAGTTTAATGAAAGTAATTCAATAAATGTAACTTCAAAAGTGAATGTCACAGGTACAGCTTCAAACCTAACGGTGTGTATGTTGCTTGAACATCACTAAAGGTACATGAATCATAACACACGTTTACCAACCACCCTTTGTAAATATAACGGTATAACGGAATCTAAGTATAGATCAAAGTTATGAATTCATCTGACGCACGGATAGTTTACACTGCTGTTTGCAGGCTCTCTCGTTTACTGTACACACATGTATTTACACAATGTTGCAGCCTTCTTATGGACAGTATTCTAGGTCATTTGGCGTATAAGTGTAAATTTAGCTTTAAGATGTAATTATCTATTATAAGTTAAATTATCAATTATAAATCACCAAACTCTCAGTAGTGAGAATATTTCGATATACAGCATTGGCTTGTTTTGTAATTTTAATTATTTTTCCTAAATTCTAATTAAATCATACCAACATGACAAATTTTTGTCTTCTTAATTATAGTCCCCTTTCTGCTACATGAAGAATTTACACAGTCGTCTACAGTGTTTTATATTCGAAGCCCGTGCCATACCCGTACTCGTGGGTTTCATCAAAGTGGTAAACGTCTGAGACCTGCATCACTTCGGGCTTCCCTCACATCAAGCTGACACGCCGTGATATAACTGGAATACTGTTCTGAGCGTCATTGAACTATACTCACTCACTATACAGAGCCATGATGTGTTTGGTTTTCCTGAGAGCAAACTCTCATTACTTCTTGTTTTTGTCAATGGGACAAAATCATAAGTAAAGTGTAGCGTACTCTATTGGCAATCGTGTACACTTCTACAAAAATGAGTGAGTGAGTTAAAATCGAACGTCACATCGACAATACTTCATCCGTATCGTGACGAGAGGTTATATGTATTATGATGAGGAAAGGGACTATGAATGCCCATATACAGCGTATGAAAACGATTATCATTAATAACTATTCAAAACGTTCTCCAGGAGCTTGATTTCTTTCTGTGCGTACAGTTTGTGTAATTATGTATAGCTACATATGACATTTACAGGATACTGCACGGGACGAAATAAAATAGCTCATGAAATTTCCAAAATTTAGAAACCCTATTTCGAAACATTTGGAAACTAATAAAGTTTACGATAACATTATAGTTTCCAAATTTGGAAACGTTTCAAACTGTGTTCGCTTTTCAGGACAAAGACTTGGCGTAAGCCCATAAAGGCACAAAATAAAAGCCATATTACCCTTTTCATATCCTTTAGAAATCTCAGCCCCAAACCAGAGTCGATTGTACAATTCCGACCATATCATGAGCATGGGTCCATGAATCACAATCAAATAGTGATGACACCAGGTGTTCGCGAACAGGAACGTAATTATTTGAAAAAAAATCTGATCCTTTGGGCCATTTCTGTACTCATGTAACGTGTACTTGTAACAAGTCTGGGGCGATGGGGTAGCCTTGTGGTTAAAGTGTTCGCTCGTCACGCCGATTTCTATTGAATATGGAAAGGGTCTTGTCGCTATTAGTCCCTTGTATCATTTAATGGCAAGCAAGTCCGATGAGTGACTTGATTTTGGTTGCAGTGGCGGGCTTAGTTGCAAGGGGGACACAGTTACGGAATGTGTCAGGAAAGGTGGTATTCCCTGATGTCGACGACGATGAAACGAAGGTTAAGATCTTTATGACAAGTACTTTAAACATGCTGTTTCTTCCAGTAGATAGTTAACATGTCATCACTCTGGGCATGGGCGGTGAGGTAGCTTAGTGATTAAAGCATTTGCTCGTTATGATGAAGACCCGGGTTCGATTCCCTACATGGGTACAATGTGTCGAGCCCATTTCTGGTGTCCCCTGCCGTGATATTGCTGGGATATTGCTGAACGTGGCGTAGAACCATACTAACTCATTGTTACAAGGCTGAGAGATTTTCCCATAGGTCCTATGTGATGTACTTACGGAGCAGCACACACCGCTGAAGTTAGAATGTACTGATCGCTGATGATTGCTCCACCACAGATCGTGAGGTTACCAAAGTTGAAGTCGTTGCCAAAGTTGGAGTTGTAGTAGATCCGGATGCTGACGAGAGGGGTATAAGGCCACGTGCACTTCAAAACGTTTTGACCTCCCAAAATTCTTCCAGTTAATGCCTCTTCACCGCATCGAGCTGTGGACATGAGCAAATGTATATTCGCACCAAAAATACTTATTTTTTTTACACAATTGACCATTTGGCTCATAGCAATATTTAATATCTGAATCATATGTAAAGCAGTTGCAAGTGTGTTCCAGATTCATAACCAAGTTCTTCACATGAATTTAATATTCAAAATGACCAGCGAAAACTTTAGCGTCTTAGGTATTTAGTTGTATGTAAACAAGTCATGGATAACAACTTCTTTATTATATATTCACAACGTTGATAAGTAGATTACAAAGTTGGTTTGTAACAGTTCGTACGCGTTGTGTCTTCTTGGCATTTTATGATATAATTCAACTGATGCAATACAATTTAATGAAGAATTGTTTTCTTTACTGATTGTTTTCAATCTGTAAAGTTGAATACGTTCAAATGTCCTCCATTTAGATTGCCTCGCATTTAGGTGATCGCCAAAGAAAATTAAAGGAAAAGGTGCGCGATATTGTGAAGATCATGCTCGAAAATCAAATAACAAAATATGTATATATGTAGCTACATACATTTTTCGTCCATTCCATTTCCATAATTTTTAAATGATAGAACAACACTTGTAAATTTAAGTTTCAAGTAACAAAATATCAAGTAATGAAAACCAAACCTGGTAACTGTGCATTTGCAATGCCGATGCAGACGGCGACAAAACAGATGAGGCCGTTCATGACGTAGATCCTCTAGTATCTCACGTAGATCGGTCGTGTAGCCCCCGAGTCAGACCGTGGAAGGATGGCCGACACTCGGTGTGAAGATCACTAGAAGATGTACACATCACCACGCCTTACAATTAAACAAACCTAGATCATGTGTTTGAACAGGAGGTTACCCGTGTTCGCATTGACACTTCATTCCTCTGTGATAGCCCAATCTTCTCGTCGGTAGTCTGTTCACACACACCAGCGGGCTACGTTCGTGTGATACAGTAACCCCATCAAGGTGTGAACGGACTTCGCAATGGTGAAGGAAAGACCACTGATTGTTGTTTGACTGTGATTGCACTGATAATGAATGGATGAACCGGGTGTTATGCAGATAGTTTTAAACTCGGTTAAACACAACATGATTTTTTTTCAAAACATCGTGATGTTCTCGGTGAATATATTTTTAAACTGTGGACATTATTGCAAAGCTTTTATGATGTATCGACGAATGAAGTTGTATTTTGCGATTACTCAAAATTATACAGACACCGTAAAATCATAATATGCATTTAAAAGTTAACTTTGAAACATACGAGTTAATAACATGCATGGTTATATCATAAGTGAGTGAGTATTGTTTTACGCCGCTGTTAGCAATATTCCAGCAATACCACGGCGGGAATGGGCTTCACAAATTGTACCCATGTCGGGAATCGAACCCGGGTCTTCGGCGTGACGGGCGAACGCTTTAACCACTTGGCTACCTATAACATAAGTGGGCGGTCGGGTAGCCTAGTGGTTAAAGCGTTCGCTCGTCACGCCGAAGACCCGGGTTCGATTCCCGACATGGGTACAATGTGTGAAGCCCATTTCTGGTGTCCCCCGCCGTGATATTGCTGGAGTATTGCTAACATCGGCGTAAAACCATACTCACTCACTCACTATAACATAAGCACATCGATCAGTGTGAATTTTGAATGTATGGAGTAATCACTGTACCACTGAGTTTCGGATCAGTTGCAAATACTAAATATTAACATATTACATTTATATGACAAGGCATGATTCCGTGGTTCAGTGTTGCACGGGTAGTCCAGCCGTCTAAGGCGCCACAATTCGCTGTGCAGAGTTGCGTCCCTTGGACACGCCCAAAACCTGTGACCGGTCGTTCGAATCTCTTTTCGTGTTTCTAGGTTTGTCAGCATCAAACCCGTTCTCGTGAGTTTCACCTGCATCACTTCAGAGTTTCCTCGCACATAAAGCTGACAATGCGTGATGTAACTAGAATACTGTTTAGGGCGTTGGACCTCACTCACTAAATCATTCACTCACTCACTCACTCACTGGATCTCACTCACTCACTCACAAAACAGATGAGGCCGTTCATGACGTAGTATCTCTAATCGTAGTCCTCTAGTATCTCACGTAGATCGGTCGTATAGCCCCTGAGTCTGATCGTGAAAAGATGGCCGATCCCAGAAGATTTACACGCATGTTCTTCGTATCATAGTTATAACCAACTGCCTAAATCAAATCACCCAAACACAGCCATGTCACAAGTTGATGTAGCAATAGAACCCATTATGACACGTATGTCAATATTTAATTGCGCATAATAGAAAATATTTGCATGTCTTCCAATGGTGAGTGGAAGATGTCTATTAAGGATTGCCGCCAAATACAATCGGTGAATTGTCAACACTGAATACGGGTGCATCCTAACGAGTAAATATTCATTGTCGTCTTTGAACTGAAGCAGTTATATTTTCACAGCTTGCTTAACTAATTAGATTCTAGTTTACAAACGGACACTCCTGTTTGAGGTTTAATCTATTTTGGCATGTGTAGGTATGCAATTTGAGGGTATTAAAGAATTATCTTTTTCTGTTGCAATGGCAACCATAGCATCTTTAAAATTGTTGAATAAAAATGTGTTCTTCAATAAAGAAACATTAATAAATAACATTAAATCTTGCATTTATTTTGAATATAAAACAAACACGCACGTTACTTATTGTATTGAAAGGTGTGTTCGTTAACACATATACATTTATGGCATTATTGTAGATGTTCCAAATTATTATTTTAAGATTATATATTAATAATTATAATTATTGTAGTTACAATAATCAGACAAAGAAATCGTTGTCATCATGAGCAGGAGGAGCGCCAAGACAAAACAATACGTGCTTCTTAAGAATTGGAAGCTGGTTTGTCTGCTGTGTGGAGTGCTTGGTTTCTGAGTTCCATGTGTTTATGAGAGGTTAGAACATATTTATATAACCTCTATATGTATTCGTGCTGACATTACTCAGCTCTCCCACATCTTATACACCTTAAAGGACAACATATGTAATAACGTCCGTAGGATGAGAGCAGTAGTTTTATTTTAAGAACTATCATTCATTCTGTCTATCCGGTTTCAGCAAATACTGATTCGGGTGGTGGATACTTCGGAACAACGGTCCGCAAATAAGGCATTTTGTCAATGATACGTGGAGAGAGTTCCATTAATTTCGGGGAATTCTTCCTTCTGATTAAACTTCCTTGTATATTGTAAGCGTATTTGCACGTGGCATACAGAGACAAGAAGATTAACTAGAATTAGACCTTTTAAGAGTTGTTAACCCTCAAATGACCAAGAGACGTTCATCAGTAAGGTAATCTAGAAGTAACCTATAAAGATATAAGGAACAAACAACAAGCATTATATATAATTAGAAATCTCTACTAAAAGCAGATTCTATTGTACGATCGCGACTATATCATAACCATGTGGTTAGGAATCACTTTAAAAATATACCAGGTGTTCTCGAAAAGGTGAGCGTATTCTGCCCTACCGGTGGCTCTCGTCACACACACACATGACAAGGCGATCTCTCAGTGTGTTTAACATGTCTCACATAAAAGGTTTTGAAAGCTTTGCTGAGGTTTTGAATGTTGTAATCCAGATCAAACAACTTTTGAGCAAGATTCGTATGCTGCTCTTTGAAATCATTCTCGATTGTGGAGTGCCTCCGTGGTCTAGTCGTAGAGCGTCCGCCCGGAGAGCGGAAGGTCCGGGGTTCGATCCCCGGCCGCGTCATACCAAAAGACGTTAATTGATGGTACTTGTTGTTACCCTGTCTGGCGCTTGGCATAAAGGGGCTTAAACAAGGCCTGGTCGGCTCGGAGTTAGTATACTGTGTCTGAGTGGGGTATTCATGTTCAACTGCGGCATGGTATCTCAGTGAGCTAGCACTATAAATCGGCATCAGTCCGGACTAGAGTAAGCAGCCACACACACACGCACACACGTGCATGCACGTCGCTATATAAGTGCAATGATCTTGGACGCGACGTTAATCCCAATTTCACCTCACCTCACCTCATTCTCGATTGAACATCAAGCTGTGTGAAATTTCGACACAAAATGTTCATATAATCAGACTTTACAGTGGGATTAAAAAAAAACACATTGATCTCAGGTTTTACGAAAAAAAAACTGGACATGGCGGATATCCTGTTTGAAATAAATGATAAAATTGTTCACACGCGGCTCCTCCTTGTGCAGAACAAAATGGTTGTTTTGTCGTACATTTACACGTAGTAGTTGTTGAGAGAGATAATGGCGGAAGACTTATACGTAGCTATGCCAGCGAACTGTAAGAAATACAGAACGCAGATTATAAGACTTTCTACCCATGAATTGTGAACCTTCACACTGTATCTGGACTGAACATGTTATCAACACTGAATGCACCTGTGATCAGACATACACGGTGACTGGATGCTATAAGTGAGTTATCTCCCTTCCACTGCACAGTCAAATAATTCGTGTCTCGTTGACATGATCATTGTCATGAACGAATGTTTTGTTTGTTAAAGATATGTAAGAGTACATTTCGCCTCAGAGTGTTTGTTTTATTTAAAGAAATTATGATGACATGTATAGGGAACGTGGTTATTAACACGCATGCTACTGTTATAGTGTTGTCTTGGTTTGGCCTTTGTCTGACAGGCCAGCCACTCTCGTTGTACTCTATTTATATAGCTACGTCTCCGTTAGCTTCATCACCTCGTTGGTCTATGAAGACGTATCCTCTCCATCGTAATACAACCTAACTGCATATAACTACATGTATTAGTCCAGTCATTCTCCTAAAGAAGGGGAAACGTTATGAAAAAACAACAGAGAATGTTTTATTCACAAACACTTTTATGTCTTCCTGCAGATAATGTTTAGCTTCCTACAAAAAAACAGAGACACAACATTTTCCATAATCATAAGAAATCTCTTATCCATTATACGATTCCTTCTACATCATAGACATCATGTGTTTATTAATCACTATAAAATGATGATGACACCAGGTGTTTGCGAAAAAGTGAGCGTATCCTGCACGTCACAAACACATGAAAAGGCAAGTCAATTGTTCACGTGGTGAAACACACGGAAAAATATGGTACAAGTCAAATAGAGAATTACATCGGGCATCTTATTTGTCATCTACCATAAAATATTTTGAAAGCTACTCTGAGGCATTGAAAACTGTAAGCTCGGTCAAATAACTTTTCAGTAAGAAAAGTCGGACGCTCATTGAAATCCTCGTAGTAAAAGCATACTTGATTGTACCTCAAAAGTTGTAAAATGTAGAAGACACCAAGTGCTGGATCGATCTGTTGGAATATAGCTCAACACCAAGGGAAAGTTGATAAACTTCTTGGCCAAGTTCTCATGCTTTGATAGTGCAATCCAAGCAGAAATCCCGATTCCTACATGTATGCATAAAGAAACAGATCAGCAAGTAGAGGAGCACACATGGTGCCCAGGGGGATGCCTGCTTCTGGCCTTAATGTCTTACCCTCATTTTTACATAGATGTTATCAATGCTGAAGTCCAGCATTTCACATATCGCTTTTCAGTAGATGGTAGTTGCTTTCATTTTTGACATATTGTTCTTGTGAAAGGACCCATGGGTCAAAGAATGAAGTTTTCCTTGAGTGCGTAATGTGTGATAATCATTATACAAAGTTTAAATAATGTAAATGCTTTGATATTTTGACACTTTATGCATAGATCTAAATATGAAACAGATGGGGCGGTTTCACTATTCTCTTTTATTTTTAGTTCAGGGCCTTGTTCCTCGAAGCGATCCTAG